TCTATGAATGTTAATTATTCGTCCACCCCCTTGCTCTTCAAAAAGTCTGAGCGCAAAAGCACTGTTTTCCATTTTGACATAAGAGCTCAGAAAATGTAATAAAAGACTCAGAGAATGTGATAAAATTGCCTATAGTCATTAGGTAGCTAAGAAGTTGAGCAAGGTTTTGGGTGCAGGCAGTCTTTGGCCAGCGATCATTGTCTTGGCCTCTCTGTCACGTTGCTCTTGAAAGGGAGTGTTAATAAGAATCTCTCCGTTTCTCGGTTCTAATAAGATCACCTCTCACATTGAAAAAAGATAGTGATTTTCATATTCTGAAGCCCACTCCCTGTCTATGTCTGGTGCAGGAAAAGAAAAAGGAAAAAAAAAAAGTCTTTCACATCCGGGCTATCTGAAAGTTTTCAGTGGTTCTCAGACTTTACCTCAAAGCCGGTTCACATAGCCCACTGCACCTCCAGAGTGGGTAATGGAAGAGTACAAACCTCACATGTGTTACATGAGAGGGCCCACCCTCGGACCTAAATAGAGCTTTGTTACATCAATCACACCACTGGGGTTAAAGAGAAGCCCACACTGTCACATCACTTTTTCCAGAACCTAAAAGGTATGAATTAAATATTGAGTTTAAAAAGAAAAAATGTTTCAAAATGCTCTTGGTCTATAATGAAAAGAAAAGAAACCAGGGCAGTCTTAATCCTTGAACTCTCCCCCCCCCCCATTTTTACTTCATTCTCCCTTGCCATCCGGACCCTCCTCAGATCTGGAATCAATTTTAATGCACTTCACTTCTGCTCCTGGGGAAGGAACACCTGCCTTGAAAGTACTCCAAGGCCCTCTCCTACTGCAAATTTCCTTCTTCCTCTACTCCATTCTATCAGCTTGGAATTAGAAAAAGGAGATCCCTCCCGCACCACCAACAACGATACTTGTTTTCACCTGATGTTAGACTGGATAAGAAGTCCGTTCCACCTAAAAGTTTATTATTTTATTAAACTAAACAGTATATTTATTCAGTATATTTTATTTGTACTAAATAGTAAGTCACAATCAACTTGCTCTCCAAAATCTCCATACTACCATAGAGGTGTTTGCCTGCTACATCTTAGGCAGGATTGAAGATAGCCTCCTGTCCCTTGGCATATGGCTGGTCTGGGGAGAAAAAGATAGAGACGCCTTTGTGGAAACAGTCAGGTACTTATAGGTGAGAAAAAACTCAGTCTTAGATGCCTAAGGAAAGACAACCTGGAATGTGGACACTATTTGTGACCACCCTCCTATTCCATGTGAGTGGACAAAGTCAAAAGAAATCAGTCAACATTCATATCCTTTCCTTCATCAACTTCCTCAATGAAATTCAAGATTTGGGTTTTCTACTGTACAAGAAAAATAATAATAGTAATAGTCCTCTCCTTGTGCTATGATGACCCTGGCACTCCCCCATTTCTTTTATTCTTTATTTTCATATTTATACTAGGGACTCAGTCCAGGGGTGCTTTACCTCTGAGTCACATCCCCAACTCTTTTTATTTTGAGACAGTGTCTCACTTAGTGAGCCTTAGGGCTTAGGACCTCACTAAATTGCTGAGGCTGGCTTTGAACTTGTGATCCTCCTTCCTGAGCCTCCTGAGTCACTGGGATTACAGGCATGCACCACCACGCCAGGCCCCTATCTCTTTTAAAACTGACCTATTTGATTCAAAAGAAAAAAAAATCTTAGGTTTCACTTGGGTCAACAGTGGGCACTATTCATCAATGATAAACACAAGATAAATGTTAACAATGTATTTGAGTGAAGAAAAGCCACACTGTGGAATGAAGGAGAGAGCCAATCACCAACTACTTCCAACCTATGCCCCACTCCCAGAAATACCAGTTGCCTCAAAGGTCTCTCATTCCTCACCTTAGTTGTATTGATTTAGATGGTTGGGTTAAAGTTAGATAACAACCACACTTTATTCAATTCATCATGTCGTCCATTTAACTTTTTTAAAAGTATACATAACTTGGGATGCACTTTGCCTAACATGCTCAAGACACTAGGTTTAGTACCAAAAAACAACAACAACAAAAAAAAAAAAAAAAAAAAAAAAACCAGAAAACTTCCATTTTTCTTTCCCCTAAAATAAAAGCTACAACTGAAGAATTGACTAAAAAGGTTGTTTTGTGAGCTGGACTGCTGCCTAAACACTGTCTTATCACCAAACATGTTTTAACAATGTACTAATTTTTAGAATCTACCTATTAGTATTTGGAATGGAACCCTGCTTGCATTTTTTTTTTCCTGCTTGCATTTTAAGAAGGAAGCCTTGTATAGGAATACCAATCACACAAAAGCCAGGAGCCAAGGAGACAGAACCCAGGAATGCAGAAAAGTTCTCAGGAACTTGAAGTCTATGGATAGTTTTCTAGGACATCAGTATCCTGGAATTTTAACACCCATGCATACTTGAAAAAGAGGGAAGCTTATCAGTTGGAACCATTTTAGAAAATTAGAAAAACATGCTAGGCATAGTGGCATATACCTGTAATCCCAGCTACTCTGGAGACTGAGGCAGGAGGATCACAAATGTGAGGCTAGCTTGGAAAACTTAGTGAAACCTGTGTCAAAATAAAATATAAAAATGATTGGGGATGTAGCCTAGTAGTAGAGAGACTCTAAATTCAATCCCTAGTGCAGGAAAATCAAAGAGAGAGAGGGAGGAGAAAGAAGGAAAATAAATTAGAAAATCCAAAAACTATATATATATATATATATATATATCACTGTATAAAAATGAAAAATATCTAGTCACATTTAGGGACCCAGTTTGCAAAAACAAAAATGTAACCAATTAATATATTTTAAGGTGCAGATTTTCTGAACTACTGAAGTCAGGAAAATTTCTCCTCTAGAATGACTCTGATTGGCAGATCCTTTCTGAAAGAAGACAGCTGAATTGAGAGAGGCCTGTGGTTATTTTATGTCACTGGCTAAATTTTTGTTTGTCTGTTTGTTTGAATTCTTTCTTCCTTTTTTTTTAAACCAATCTCTATGCTACATGCAACTGGATAACACCAAAATATATACTGATGGTAGTGTCTTAAAGGGGCAGGAATCACCATAAAATAAATGCATACCATTAAATTCTTACACAAGTCATTGATTGAATATGCCTGTAGTATTTTTTTTTTTTCAACAGAATTTGACAGCTTAAACTTCTAAATGACTTGAAGCTGCTGGTATCTATTTCATTTGGCTACTAGGGTAGTCAGTATGTCTAACTTAGGAAGGATAAGATGACAAAAATGTTCTAGGAATCAATAGGCCCTTATTTTGCCTTTAAAATCACCCCAACTTGGTTGTTGGAAGGTGATATCTTCTGTTTATTCTTCTGTAGAGTCAATTATTAAAAAGAAATCAAACAAAAAATAGAACAGTACCACTAAGGTACAAAGTTAAATCATGACTCTGTAGTAGAACATGCTTACTATGGTTTAAAGACAGACACCACATACAAATTTAGCAACAACTATTAGATATCGTGACCTTTGGCACTGGCATTTTCCAGTATCATTTCAGATAACATGGATAAAGATGGCAGAAGTAATGTAATCCCTAATGCCCATGTTCCAAACTTCTGAAATAGCCTCAGCAGAATAAACATCTTTTCACTTACTTTTAAAGAACCAAGGCAATATTTAAAAAGAAAAAAATCATCAAACATGATCAATAAATGAGGAAGAAATCCAACTGCAAGTTAATCATACTTGCAATATAAACACCTAGGGAAACCTAAGGGTACTGTGGTCATAGTTCAGAATGAAAAAGAAAGATGAACGACCTCTTCAATACCATCCATCTCTAGAAGGAWGCACCTAAATACAAAACTTGTATTTTTTTTTAATATTTTTTAGTTGTAGATGGACACAATATCTTTATTAACTTTTATGTGTTGCTGAAGATCAAACCCAGTGCCTCACAGTGTGAGGAAAGCACTCTACAACTGAGCTACAGCCCCAGCTCCCAAACTTGTATTTTTTTAACTATAAACTTGACGTTGATTCTTCCTAATGTGTTTTTAAAGTTCTAGTTCCCATTCAGGATATGGACTTCTAAGCATGTGGTTCCACCACCTTGCAGCACACACAAAAAAGAAAGAACAAATAAGATAATCCCTAGCTTAAAGGCACTCATAAAAATGTAGAAAACAGTAGCTTCTAGAACATCCAATTACAAACAGTTTACCACATTCCTTCACCTGCATTTTTGAAACAGGAATGTAACACCCAATCTGTAACACAAAGTGCCCTAATGACATGGGGCAATGGAAATGGGAAACCAAAGGTAACCCTGGGAGGTAGCTATCAGCGTTTCAAGCCTGAAAAGATAAAAAACTCTCAACAAAACTGTCCTCTGGCATCCTTTAGAATTACAGGAAGGCAGTGCAAAGGGGAAAAAAAAAAAAAGTGGGAAAAAAACCCTGAACATTAAATTATTTGGAAATTTCAGACCAATCTTATTGTCATGGCTTTCCTCCTCCATTAAATTCTTTACCTAATATAAGGTAAATACTACAAAAGAACTAAACCTCTAAGAAATAAAAGCAGGATTCAAAAATCGGGGCCCTTTCTTTTCTACTTCCTTTCTCAGCCCCCTGCCTTCTAATAAGACAAACTTTTGGCAGGGACATAGAAGGTATCCAGACATTTTGATGAGTTAGACAAGCAAAGTCTAAATGAACAAACCCTGGCACTCCTGAATGAAGCAGTCTTTTAAAACACAAAAAGCCAAAACAGAGGCTAAATAAACAATGCTCCTTGAAAAGGAAATCCACATTATAAAAGAGAGAGAAATACACACAGTTCTCAAGGACCATTAAGGCAGCATTCACAATTAGTAGCTTTCAAATCAAACTGAGAAATTTCAACAGTATTTCCTTAAAAAGTTAATGTGCACATGTCCCATATAGAGTTTCTCAGCAGCTTCAGGTTGCATATTATCAATACATGCAGTTACTTACTTGTTTCCTTCTGTAATGACTGAAGTGAGAAAGTCCTAAGATGGTAGCAAGTGCACCCCCTCCAACAAGAACAGTCCCTTTCACGGCCTTTTGAAATGCCATTTCTTAGCCTACAAAGGAGAAAAAAAAAAGAAAGAAAAAGGAGTTAATTGAGATTTTTGTCACATAACAATCCCAATAATAAAAAAACAGACTGTGTAGAATATGGAAAACCAGAAAAGGAAATGTAAAATATGGAAGGTACTAACATGCCAACTTGTATACAATTCAAAACTAATAACCAAAAAAACCTGGACAAGGGAATTGATTATGTAAAAGTTACATTCAGATCCAACAGGAACTAAAGAAAGAAAACATATTAAAAGACAACTGAGGATATTTAAACAGTAAGAAGTCAAGAGAGCTATGAAAAGAAATGTCATTGTGTATTTGACAAAACTGCATGCTGTTCTTGCAAATTTTGTCCAAAAGCTAATCCCCTCCACAAGGAGAACTGGAGAAATCTTGGGTCATTCAACATGACAATAAACCTCAGGCCTACTTCAGGTTGTCTGGCAAGTGTTTAATTCAAATTATGGTACAACTCCCTTCTTGAATTTTTCCTTCTTAAAGCAGTTCTCATTAGTGCCAAAGGCCAACAAACTTATATTTCTATCACTAGAAAGAGTCCATTTTGCAGATAGAAAGTCAATAATATAATGCCACGTCCTTTTAAACACTGATAAATTTAACCTGTTCTAATTTCTTTCATTAGGGTAACTTAAAAAAAAAAAAAAGTATGTGGGGGGATGTTCTATTAGCCAGGGCTGACTGACATCACAATTTCAAAGGACACCTCCAGATCAAGCACTGTTACCTACTCACTCTAAGTATTCCTCTAAACAAGGTTATGTATTGTGTTAGCTYTTCCTTCTTCCTTGTTCTCCATTATTGGACTGAATCAATTAAAGTTTTGTTGAGGATTTAAAATTATTTTTTAATTTTTTCAGAAACYAAAATAATAATTTCATAGAAATAAAAATTCCACCCCAAATCCTCTTATCTGCTTTTATTCTTCCAAACAAAAAATAACACCATGTAGTCACCTAAAAATAATCTGATTTAGAATTGAGTAATTTGACCTGCCTAAGACTTCCATTCACAAAAGCAGCTAGCACACCCACCTCTCACAGGAAGCCACCAATCTATATTCCTGTATGGGTGGAGATGAGTCCTGTCTGAACAACACACCTCACACTCCACTGCTATCTATCTCATAACTCAAGAATGTTCTAATTCCAAAGGCAGTTTTAACTTACAACATTAAAAATCATATAACATCTCAACATACATTATGACAATGACTTGTTCATATTGGATATGTATCTATTAATCATACTATCCTAGATTAAGGAATGCTAGTATAGTTGGTTAACTATGCTTCTACAGAAAATTCATTTTGGATTATAAATCATGTACAGAAATAAAAGTTGTTAATTATTAAAGTTTTATTTTTTCCTCTGATCTCATTCTTCCTAACAAACTCTGAAATTTTAACATGGCCTTTTAATTAAGAGTATTGCAAGGACAATAATTCTCATTCATACTCTGCTGCCCAAGACTTCTTCTTTCCTACGCCTTCTTTACATAATCATTCTCTCTTTCCCAAATTGTGCAAGACTCTGGTATATGCTGACTAGGGATTTCACTCATCATACAGTAAATCATAGACAAAACTTTATATCCTAAGCTGCTTTGAGGGAAAAACCACAATTTCGCAGACACCATTTGTCATAGCCATCACCACTATTTGAGACACTGCTATGAACATTCACATGGTTGCCCATCACACAACAAAGGAGACACTAACAGCCCTGCCAGCATACTATCTCCAGGATAACTGGGATCCTCTATCCATTGGGTAAAGAAAATAGAGTACTAGCTCTATTTACCTAAACAATGCACTTGCCTACCCCATCTCAACAGCAGCCAGGTGGTCCATTAGATGTGAGTGTTGTGGCTGATTAAACTTAGCTTAGTATCATTGCTTCTGTCTTGTTGATAATGTCACTGTGACCTCACAAAGGATACCACACATCAACATGAACATCTGAGGAATGTTATATATAACACAGTCAATAAAAATGTCTCAAAATCAAAGTTGCTCATTCAGCCAGACAAGTTTGGAGCTAAGTCCTTCCATAAATGTGAGTTCCCTACCCACTTAATTGTATTGTTTCAATTTGATTTTTCTGAGAACAACACTTACAAAAGGTGATATTTTCATGTATTTTTTTCAATGAGCCACTAACACTAATGAAAAACTGCATTCACATATTGCCAGAATTAGCAATAATGTTGACTATAATCAATAAAGAGTTTCCTTTTTAGATAACTTCATAAAATTACTTATGCTTAAGGGATCATTATTTCTACTCTGATCAAATCCTTCTATAAGATCATCTAGCTAATTATAATAAAGAAACCATGCTTGCAAGTATTTTAAAAACAAAAGCACAGAATCAATCAGTTTGATCTGGCTCTTCTAAGATAATCATTATTTTTGTTAGTACTTTGAATGTTACAATGACAATAGCTGCCATTTATTGAATGTGTACTAGATAATTGCTATCAAGCTTTTAAATTTTTGCACATATCAGCTCATTTCACCCTCACTACAACTAATTTGATAGCACTGGGCTGTAGTTCAGTGGTAACATGTATTCCTGGCACATTCAAGATCCTGGGTTGGATTAGTAGCACTGCAAAATAAAAATAATAGTAATTTCATAAAAGAGGCAGCTGTGGTTCAGAAGTATGAGGGGATTTTCCTGAAGTCACTTCATAGTGAGAGAAAACCATGACTGAGTCCAGGCCTCAAATACTGGGTGGTTCTTTCTGCCCTACTTTTGGTCTCATAAAGTAACTCCCCCCAAGTACTACAACCATAATTTGCTGTCACTCCCCCAAAAAAGGCCAAATCTCAATTATCCAAGGTATATAGACCTTCAGTATTCAGGTTTCTAAAGCAAGGAAGAAACCTGTAGAAAAGTATTCATCAGTAACTTTCTGCCAGATAATTAAGAACCTTTAAGAAATTTAAAATAAGATAAACATGAATTATACACTGTGGATAGGAACCCATTTGCATTCCCTTGTAAGGAGAAAAGTGTTCAAAATGATTACAGCATTTCCTTCTAAGTAAAAGCCATGAAGGGAAGTTAGAAAAGAGTGGGGCCAAAAAATTGACACATCTTCACCTTTTGCAATTTAAAGTATAAGAAAACCACAGGGAAAGAATGATCCAAAATTAAAATGAACTTAGTTGTCATAACTCGGTGTCCATATTTTGTAGCCTATTAATTAAAACACATAATACATTGTCTCCGATTTGGCTCTGACTTAGGCACAAACCAGCCCTCTAATTCTTACAAGGAAAACAAAAATCGGCACAATTGGCAAAACCTAAACAAAATGCTCCCCCTCTAAATACATTTATTAGTTGCCTCAAGGAGTTCACAATCTATCTGTACAATGAAATAGCAAATCCGGTCTTGTAAGTATGTCTTAAAACTACTCTGCTTATACTGAAAGTTATAAATACTCTTGTAGAAAAGAAGTAAGGTGCTATATGATTGTAGTGGAGCAAGTGATGATTCTGACTCAAAGAATTTAAGAAGCCTTCAAAAAAGAAAGAATATCTGAGAAGGAGCTTGAAGAAAGCAAAAGGTTTGGAGGAAAATGAGTAGAGAAAGGGCTGCCTAGAGAAAGACTACTTGAGGAGAGGGAGKACTATTGCAGCAATATCACAGAGGCACAGGGGTCATCCAGTTTGGCTGGAAACGAGGTTTTTGTTTTTTGCTTTTTAATTTTTTTAGTTATAGATGGACATGATATCTTTATTTACTTTTTTATTTATTTTTATGTGATGCTGAGAATCGAACCCAGGGCCTCATACCTATGAGGCAAGGGCTCTACCACTGARMTACAGCCCCAGCCCTGGAAATGAGGTTTTAAGCAGTATCCCAGAGCACAAAAGAGGACAACTCTACCTATGTTAAGTAGGGTGTTTTGATAATAATCTGTTGGCAAGTTGAGGTTGTAGATCAAAGAAGCAAGATTTTTGTTCCATTTTTTATATTTATAAACAGTGTTCAAGTAGACTTTCATGTTGAAGCTTAAGAAATACCACAATTAGAGAGCAATAAAATAGTCCCTATGGGAGAGGACAAGAGCCTGGTTTAAAGGAATATCTAAAAGTGCAAATGCAAAGATCAAGGATTTGCAGACATCTTTAATGACAGTACCCAAATTAAGACCATGACAGGACCAGACAAGTGACTACATAAAGAAGTGGGAAGAAACTGAATACGATAAGGGATATGAGCCTAGGTAGCTGAAAATTAGCCCCCATGTTACAATATTAACATCTAGAAAAAGAGACAGGTTTAAGGAAGAAAAGGAGCTCAGTTTGGAATTAAGGAAATTTGAGACGCTGATAAAACACCTACTCGAAGAAAACAACAAACAGTGGGCTCTGTGGGTTAAATAGTCACAAAAGTAGTGTGAAAGGTGGGACACAGGAAACTTCTTCCTAGAAACAAAAACTAGATTTGCCACTTCTCAAGATCTGCTGGCCCATGTTTCCTACAGACTACTGTAACTCTTCCAGCTCAACTGAACTCCTTACTGTCCTTTTTTTTCTCTCTCTCTCTTTTTTTCACTGATACCTTTTAGTTCCTTTTAGTTATACAAGACAGTAGAATCTATTTTGATACATTTATATWAGCATATATCTTGTTCTAATTAGGATCCTAGTCCTGTGGATGTACATGATGTTAAGATTCACTGTGGTATATTCATGTGTACATAAGAAAGTGTCCTCTGGGGACTTGCATTGTGGACAGAGTGACTTCAACAATGAGACCCATTGCTCTTATCAATTTCATACACATAGTTGYTCCACACATGCCTCCTTCCATTTGGAGACAAGGCTGCTATCTGAGCTCCATCATGTATCTGAAGGACTTTACCACATATTTTAATCTTTTAAAGGCAAGTAATAACCACCAATTGAAAAGTACAGAAGTTCTCAACAACAAGCCACAAGCAAACTGACTGCAGCACATGT